TGATGATTCTATACATTCTAAATTAGTAGTTTTACCAATTGGTCTTCTTTGTTTTATAAGTGGTAAAAAGAAAAAGGCTGCTACCATGCTTTTATTTGATCAATGCCAACATGTGTGATATATGACATATTTAACATCACTTCTTTTGACTCTCTTTTTAGAAGATTAGATTTATCTTTATTATAAGAAATCTTCCAATCGTGACTCATCTATAAATTAAGATTGAAGATTTTTTCTATTGTATTTGTCATACATGTTAGTAGTCTAATTGCTATATTACTAATTTAATTGAGTACTGTTTGGCAATAATATCATTATTGCATTCATCTTCAATAATGTGTGTTTTGTAGTTTTAATTGATTAGAAGGACTTCTAATCGGCAATAAGGGGTACTTGAAAATATTAATTGTGTATTTGTATTTGGTTTAGATTACATACTTTGTAATTGGTTTATAATACTTCATGTGTTATGTATAACAATTTTTGTTTATATAACAAACATAAGAATAATGTAGCATTGATGAATAAGAGAATGAATGAATGCGTGTAGAAATTGTAGTGTCCAACAGTAAGAGTTTTTGCATCTATATATAGATATATGTATATATATTCATATATTATTTATTAATATTATAATATATAATCATAGTTTTTACTATTATATTTTAAATATATTATATTACAAAAAATATTTAAAAAATCATTAAATTATTCTTTTATTATTTTAATCATATTTTATTTTAAAAAATTAAAAAAATAAACTAAGATTAGATACATTACTATTTATATTAGTATAAATATAATAATTATAGAAGATGGTATCAATAATAGTAATTATTATCTAATTTAAGTTGAAATAATTTAAGTTCATATGGATTACTATCATTTAACTTGAAATGGAAGGTCTAATATCTTATTATGTTGTTGCAAAACATTGCTTCATATCAAGGATTTTTTAATAGATTATGTTGTTGTATTACATGTTGTCACATGTTGTCACATGTTGTCTTGTTTGAGAATGCACCAGGCACCTAGCTATAGAAGGTGAGGTTGTGTTTCACAAGTATCTAAGAAATCTTAATAGGTTTCACCCATATGAGAAGATTATAATCCAAATTTTAATTTAAAAGTGCTAAAAAAAAATCTTCTTAGTACCCTCAATCATACTTAAATTCCAATTACCTTGTTACTTTCATATTTAAGTAACTTAGATTTTTCTTGTAAGCCCTAATTCTAATCAATGAGCTTTGACAAGCTGTAACTTCTAATCTGACTATCTACTTTATGTAAAATTTTGCATGAAATTGCCAATGTAAGTCTTTTATATGTTCAAGAAATTTCAGCCCAGTCTAACTTATAAATTGTGAGAAATCCTCCAAAAATTGCACTAATGTCACTTGGCTATCAACTTGAAAGAAGATGCAAAAGTTCCAATAGTGATTTCTCCTTCTCCAACTATTAACTTCAACTCAAAATTGCTATGTAGCTTGATCTTCAAGTCCTCTAATATCAAGCCAAATTTCACCTTGATTTGACTAGTAGATCTCTAGATATCATAGAAATCCTATCTAATCCCAATATACCAACTTTTAGTAAGTTCTTGTACCAAAACCTAGATATCTTCCAATTACTCTATTGGATTATTACAAAATTTCACATACACTTAGAACATCTAATTAACCAAGCACTACCAAAATTTTAACTATAGATGTGATACCAAATTTACGAACTAACCAAGAGTGCTAGCCTTAATTTCATTACATAAATCTCAAGTTGCCAATACAAATCCTAATTTCCAATAATAATTGCCCAATTCTTATAAATTCTATAAAAATAGGCCTTATGCATTTGAAAAGAGCTTAAAGCTAGCTCTCAAATCCTAATCTTTGATCTTCAAATAAAAACCTATTTTACCCTAGGTAGTTGTTTTAGTAGCCAAAGATCTCATTTCAATCCTGTCTAACAAATGGTGTCATGATGTAACACAACTAATAGGTGAAAGAGTGTAGAGATTATTGTAACTTAGGAGATCTTAGTTCAAATTATTAGAACAAATTATCTTAGAAATATAATTAATAGTCAAAGGAGTAGTAAAATTAAAAGGTACTAATATTGCCTTTTAGAAAGGTGACTTCTACTTACTTTGTAGGACCATAAATAAGGCAAAAAAAAGTAGGTTGGAAAAATTAATGATATAGACATCTTTAGAAGGAAGTTAAGAGTAAACTCTAGCAAAATTTACTTAGAAAAACTAGATATTGATACCCAGAGAGTGCCGGTTATAAACTAAGGTCGAAATCAGACCATGAGGCACAAAACCAAGTCTCGATGACGACTTTAAGAATCTTTGGCAGATCGGGGAGTGGATTTTGATAGCAGATTGGATAGGATTTCTATAAACATTAGTTTTGGATGATTTGGAGTTGTTATGACTTTGTAAGAGCTTTGCAAAGTCAAGGTTTGTTTTGGATGACTTGGGTTTTATGAAATAAAATAGGGTTTATGTTTTGGGTGATTTCAAGAGTTTTGTAATAGATCTATAAGTGAAATTTTGTAGATTAATGGTTATAATTGTGTTCAATATATATTATGAATTTGAACTTGATCTAATGGTTTAATTGAGGGTTATTGAGGTTTAAGTGAGTCAAGGTCTCAGAAAGTAGAATTTTTGGTCTAGTGAGGGTTTTTAAGATTGCAAGAAACCAATTGAATTGGAGTGAAACTTATGTGAGGAGATATTAGACTTGTTTTTCTATGTGCATGAGAATTTTGAGATCAATCGAGTGGTGCAAAGGAGAGATATTGGCTGGGGAAGATTGGCATCAAGGTTGGAGAAGGAGACCAACCAATACTCAAGCACGTTTTTGAGATTATCATCTATTTGGTAATTTCGATCCTTTTCAAAAAAATTGTGATTGTTTTTGACTTAGTTTTGAAGAAGTGTGCAAAATTTGAATTAAGATCAATGATTTATTCATTAGTTATTGAGGTTTAAATCTATTATAGAAATTACTGGGATTTGATTAGGGATTGGTTTAAGGTTTAGAATTTGGTTAGGATTTGATTTAGGATTAGGATTTGGTAAGGGTTTGATTTAGGATTTAGGATTTGGTTTAGAGTTTGTTTAGGGTTTTATTTAGGATTTAGGATTTAGTTAGGGTTTAGTTTAGGATTTAGGGTTTGATTTAGGATTTGATTTAGGATTTAGGATTTGATTTAGGATTTGGTTGGGATTTGGTTTAAGATTTTTTTAGGATTTGGTTTAGGATTTAGGATTTGATTTAGGGTTTAGGATTTTATTAGGGTTTAAGATTTAATTAGTTTTAACCTAAAGTTTGAATGAAGTCCAATAGGATTTTAATAAGAATTAAATTAAGATTGAATTGAGATGAATTTGAGACATATTTGTGATCATTCTAATATTTCTTTAAGATTTTTTATTATTTCTTTGAAATTTCTTTGAGGTTTTTTTGAATTTGATTAAAGCTTGCTTAACATTATTATGGTCTAATTAGAGTTTAGTTAGTATTCTATTATAGTTAGGATTTTGTTGTTGCAATTTTCATTCTACCTTCCACAGCCAAGTGCTCGAAGCATTCTCAAGTAAGACTTCACGTATTATGACAACGGTCAATCCTTAGATATCAATCTAACCTATTCTAAGGGATTTTTAGTCCAATCTTACCCTCAACTTAATCCTATTATCAACCATATTAATTATTTATCTCTTCTAACCTGATTTTATTAATTTATGGTCTTTCAAAGGTAGTAAAAGAGTCTTTACAACCTAGAAGATAAAAGTACTAATCAACCTTCAACCTACTAACTATTAAGATAAGAGAATAACCTAAGAGGCTTTTATGAAAGCCATGTTTAGATATCTTGAATTATTATGGAATCAAGATAATTAGATACTAATTAGAAATTCAATTTTGGTTATAGTTTCATTATATAGTCATATTACATTATGATAATGCCTAGTGATTAAAAAGTTGACTAATCAAATTATACATGCAAGATTTTATTGAGAGACTACAAAGAATAGTTGGCATTTTCTTCCAAGAATTACATTATGTTTATCATTTGCAAAGATTTTGTTCAAATTACAACAAAGGCAATCTCCAATAAGAATTGAATTTGCATGACTATTAACAAATATCAAAGAAAATTATTAAAGAATATAGAAATAAATCTTAGAACCTTTGTATTTGTATTTAGAAAATTTTATGTTGCCCTTTCACAATGCACTTCTCCAAATATGATTAAGATCATATATTATGAAAATAATGACGACAAAAACATCATCATAATTGTGATTTAACTTGAAGTTCTTATAACTTAGCCATATAAGTTATCATAATAAATAAAAATAAATAGTTCCATTTTTATGGATTTTTTTACTTATTTTATTTTATTTTATTTTATTCTTGGTCAAAATTTCTTTAGTAGTGGTTAATTTTTGATTTAGCAACCACAAATTAAACTTTTATAACAGCATAGGTTTCTACAAATTGTATGTATATATGCTAATATATATATATATATATATATATATATATATTCTAATTCTATTTTTTTGAGTCTAATATTAAAAATGTATTTTGTAAACAATATATATATATATTAAAAAAGAATGGGTGTACGGATGGATAGATACAATTCCGTTATTACATGTTTGGGTAAAATGATAAAATATTATTTATTTATTTATCACAAAATGTAATCAAATTATAAGTAATGCAAACTGTCGAGATGGTGATTAAAACAATTGTCCGCATTGCAAGAGCTTCAGCAGAGTCAGATAAGGAAGATGGAGCACAGTCAGGGGTCGTCGGAATGGATGGATGTATTTCGTGGACAAAACGAGGACGACATCCACAGCGGGAGGATGAGACCGAAAGAGCAGGATCCATGGCGGTGTGAAAGGGGACTTCTGGTGCAAGAGAGGGCAAAGTCATTTAAAGAATGGCGATATAGATGCGACATGGAAGAGTGCCACTTGTTCTCATCACGTAGATGCGAGGGACCACGGCAACCCGGGTCTAAGGAGCGGGTTAGGGTTGCCCGGCGCAGTGTTCATCGCCCGGCCCAGCCCACGCTCCGTCCCCGCTGCTCCGAACCCCAGCCTGCGCTTCTCGCCGTGAGTCCTCTCGCTGCCCGGTGTTTTTCGTCTCGCATTCCGTCGTCTTGGTGCCTGCCTTTCATATCCAGCTGCGGCTCCTCGTCCGCTTTCCAACGAGCCATCGTTTGTTTTCTTCGGTGGGGTATTGCGGTTTCTGGAGCCTGTGTCGTGGGAGGGGTAGGCGAGGGGTGGGGGGGGGGTGTTTGTTTGTTTTTGTTTTTGTTTTTTTATTTTATTTTGAATTTCGTTTCCGGCCCGTGTGATGCGTGTGGGAAGCCGTGTTGTTACGATTTAATTTTTCCGTGTGCGAGGATGTTTTTTTTTTGTAATTTTACTTTTCCTCTTAAGTTGAACTCCTGCGTCCGTGGGAATTTTGTTTAAATTTGTCTCGCTGATTTCTTGGTTTGAATGACGAGTCTTTTTGTTTGAGTGAAGTGAGGAGTTGCGGGTGCTATGTGCAGTTGAATGTGTTTTTGTCGTAGAGGTTGAGAGAATAGGAGGTCTCCATTTATGGCAGACAATTTCTGCTGTTAGTGTTGCTTTTGTTTTCTCTAAGCATTGTGTTCATTCTCGATCGAGAACGATTTAACGTGTGTGTTGATGAAGTCTCCTGCGGTATCGAATTGGTTCGTTCTGGAAATTTGTGTATCGCATTCCCGGGGAGGAATCGTGACACATGCTACCATTCAAAAAGCTCATTGGTGCTGGAAGAATTTCAGACGAGGATGTATACATGGGGTGCGAAGTTGAGGATGGTAAGGTTGATAGTTTGTTGCTTTCGGAACCAGCAGGTGTCTGGAAGGGTGGCAGTCAATTCATGTCCTGGACGCGTTTGGAGGCATTGCTAGCTATTGAGGAAGGAAGCTCAGCAGATGAGGTACTGAAACATAATCACCTGGACGAATTAATTTGTGATATCATATATGGAGCATTCGCTTGATCTTTCATGTGAGTATAAAAGTATCTCGATCACTTTATAGCGGCTGGGATATTGTCTTTGTGAAGGTGTTTCGAAATACCCATGTGCACAATTTTCGAGAAGAGGTTGCAGATTCCGTACAATACTGTTGAAGCGTCGTGCTGGTCGTTCTATTCTGGATGCGTGTATTATACTGGTGTATCACTGGTTGATGCATCAGGGACATGTGTTGTATGTATGGTTTTTATGCAACAAGAAGTTGGAAGAAAATGACATTTATGTATTTGGAAATAATATATGCGATATTGGTCTTTTAGTTTTACTGTAGCAAATAGATACGAATCAGCCTGGGCCGAAAGTCGTGTCTATGAATCTGTAGCCATTTCAAGCTTTACTTCAGGGTGTAGTAGCTGCGGCAACGCAATTTAGTCGTAGGATGACAGAATTGTATTCCATGTTTTGCAGATCATAGTACAATCTTTGCTGGGAGTTCGTGTTGCTGAGGTGCGATGGCTGATCACATGGGCCCTCCTCCTTGTGGCTTGGGCCATCATGCTTTGGCTGATGCGCTTGTCGATGACAGAGATCATCACAATCATACTGGAAGTGAAGATGATGTATTTGGTGATCGTCGAAAGGGAGATGTATTTAGGAAAGGGAGGATTTATAAGAAAGGAAATTGGACGGCAGCAGAGATCCTAGTGTTGCAGGTAATGTGGTGATGCTGCACACAACTAACGTATTTTGATTTCATTTCACCAAAAATGATAACAATAAAAATGAAGAACAACAACAATCCTTTTATTGGTGTATATGAAGTGGAGGTAAATTTGTATCCTTTTTCGCATCTTAACGCCGTCACATAGCTTGTATTACAATGACTAGTGCAAAATTGTACTTGAGCCGGTTACTTAAATATAGTGTTAAGTCGTATCATAATCAACGCAGTTCTGTTCCAGTGATGAACTCATCACTTGTCTGTAGAAACGCAACACTCCTAAATTCTGCCACAATCACCGTGCACTTTTTTTCTTATAAAAGTAGCTTTATTCATATCTGACGTTGCGTATGTAGCCACGAACAGCATGATAACTGAAGATGCATGATCCCAGCACTCGACATTGTTTGCTGGACTAGGAGTACTAATTTTTACTTTGCAGGCAGCGCGAAGGGAAGACTTTGATAGAGTTCGCAGGGGTAACTTGAAAGAACGACACAAATCAGCACAAGAGAGATGGAAGTGGATAGAGGATTATGGCTGGAGCCAAGGAGTTCACAAAAGTGCACAGCAATGTCAAGACAAATGGGAGCTGCTGGTGTCAGAATTTAAGAAAGTGAATGATCATGAGAAGAATCTGCCTGGAGGTCAGAAGTCGTACTGGGATATGTCAAAGGAAGAGAGAAAGAAGACAGTTATGCCTCCTAATTTCTATAAGGATGTTTACAATGCTCTATCAGAGTGGTATTGCAAAGGCCGCCCTGCAGACCCTGGAGAGCTGGACACGTCAGGCCCTCTTCGTCATACTGGTACGTAAAATCACTTGCAAGGTTAATAATTTAATGTACAGTTCTCTGTGCTTCAATGTAGTTGAAGTGTCCTCTTTTGCTTTTGTTTCAGTTAGCCTGTTGGGAGAAATATTGCATCAAGTATTAACTTATGGTAATGCGTGATGGACACGTTTAGGTGTATCTCATAGAAGTCTTAGCCTTCAGGCTGCCAGTGACGCAGAGTTCTCCGTCCCTGAGGACTCAGATGGTGATGGTGACCCCGAATCATTATTAAGGAAACAAAAGAGAAAGTCTTCATTGTTTCCACTGTCAGAGGAGTACGGTCTGGCCTGTATTCTGAAAATTAACAACAAAAGGGTGATTGATGCGATGATGGAGAGTGAGGACCGCAAGGACAAACGTCATAGAGAAGACATAGATATGGAGGAGAAGAAGCTTGATTTTGAACGGGAGAAGTTCCGAGGAACGATGCAGTTGGGAGCGGGTTACATTAATGCTCTTAACAGCATTGGCGATGGTCTGAAGCAACTTGGAGCAGCCCTCTCTGCAACCAGTCAAGCCTGAGTAATGATTTGTTCAGGCGATTTTTTGTGCTTATCAAGTGGCTTAGGTTTTCTATCGAATCTATCTGAAGTGATATGTCCTTAGGATTTTAGGTCTTCACAACAAACAAAATAGGAACCTATCTTACTGAGTGAACCGTGTTTATGGTAAGGAGCTGCTCATTAGAACCAGATTTGCAGTAGTGTAGTTGCACACTCGCACTTGGTGGTCAGGCAAGCGTTTGCTTTTTTTGTTTGGTGAACAGAATGACTGCTGTTTAGCCGAAACAGGGTGCTGGGTTCCTTCAAATCTTTATACATTGTTGCAAGGGTCAGGTATAGTTTGTATAGATAGTAGATCCATTCGACAAGCTTAATTACTGCTGTGTACCCTGAAGGGGTATGGGCACAGGAAGAGAAGTTGGGACTGTAGACTCGATCCTAATCTCAGGTGAATCCCATAGGATTGGCACTTAGTGTGTTCATTAGATTTTTGGTATTCTAAGATACAGTTCTCTTGTACTTTTTGTACTTGTACATACAGCAGCTTCAGTCATACATTTGTAATCTCTTTGGTTGCATGCACATCGCTTATAGCTCATTTGTTACAGTTTGTTTTGCTTACCACTTGGGTTTCTTAATGTGGCGCTGTACTCGAGTCGTTTGAAAGAACTTCAACGTACCTCGAAATCGACGACATTACCGCTAGCTGCTTAGTTTCTCACTTCTTTGTGGAAGCTTCTTTGGGCAACAATGTGGTCCGAATTGTGAGAGTGTGGTGTTTGTGTTTCAGACAACTGTAATATGAAAACAAATTTGCGTCTTCATGGTTTGCTGTCAAGATGGAATGTACAGTACGAGTCTCCAACTCACTGTTATTGGTCGTGTGCACAGAAGAGTACAAGACCGCGACACTATTTACGAAACCGTCACGACATTGGCTGCTGCACCTCAATGACGATCCAACAGCCTTAACCAGCGTCGTGTCTGTCAGCCATTTCCAACGTATTTTAAATCTTTCAATTGTCATCCATCGACTTTTCTTCAGCCAACCTGGACCACCCGCTGTGAAGCAACCACGATCGCATCGTTGCCAGTGAGGATCCAAAGCAGCAGTCTAAAGAGGACAAACGAACGCACTAAAAGCTTAAAGATGGGGGAACACCCCCAAGCTTGTGCGTCGATGAATGCTTTTAAAGCTGACAAAATTTCTATGCTCACATTTTTCCGACATGGCGACGACTTGTGGGATGCCGTTCCTTTAAGATTTTTTTTTTTTTCCTTACTATTCAAAAGCATCTGAATTTTCTTCGAGACTACCTTCTAAAGAAAAACCATGACTTTATGTGTTTTCCAAATAGCTGCTGGTAGAATGCCGATAACTGTTGCTTCAGAACAGAACTGGAGGTGAACGAAAGTGGCACATCGGGAGCAGGACTGATCACTCCGCCACAATCGCCACATTCGCCACAAACTGAAATGTGCAAAATATCGTGCCGGGTGGATTGGGGCTTGACGTGTGGAGCCAAAAGTGCTGGACGGAGGGCCAATGGGTGGGAAGCCAGAAATTCGCCCTCTCAACCCTCTGCATGTTCTCAGCCTCACAGTTGGTTCATTTGGAGCTTCCTCGGATTCCCAGTTTTCTTCTCTCTGTATTGTTCAGCGAATGTTTGAGTGCTGGAATTCCGTCTCTATCCCAAGCTGTTTTGGAAAGAGGTCCCTCGAACCGTGAAGCTTGGAGCTTGGAGATTGGGTGCTTTGGGGATGGCGTGTTTAGCCGTTGAGAGGGTGGCCGTTGCGGGCGCCGTAGCGTCCTCGCACGGAGCGAATGCACCAGTGGTTTCATCAACCGGCGCGGCGTCGTTGAGGGTGGCGGGGTGGTCGTCACAACGTGGGTCGCTTAGCCGGGTGCGCAGTGTGAGTGGGCCGTCGACAAGGACTGAGACGAAGAGGTTTGTCGGACGACGAGTATCGTCAGGGGCGCCACTGGTGTGCAGGAGCGCGGTGAGTCCGTTGTCGGATTCCAATGGCAATGTGTCGGAGTTTGAGTCTGGTATGTGCCCTTCGGCAGTTCAACGTGGTTTCTTGTCTGTGCTTTCAGGTCGCATGTAATTGAGACATAGACTCCTCGAAGTTGCTTATATTATGAATCTGCAGCTGTTTCTCTGACGCATGAGCTCCGACTTGTGCGGTGATTAGAGCATAGAGTCGGTCGAAATCGCGTTGATTTTGAGAATCAATCAATATTTAATTGATTCCTACATTTAACGGACATTGTTGTTCCCTCAATTTGGCTTGCTTGAAGTCCCTCTGCCACTAGTGGTTCATGTGATTCGAACGAGTGTGAAATATAGTCTAAGAATCTGTACTCTTGTCACTGTTGGACTTTCATACTCCTTGTCACGCTCTGAGGCGGTTTGTATGCGAGAGTCCTCATGTGATGACTTACTACAATTTTCTTTTCTTTTTAATTTGTCAAGTTATATCTTTTTGTTGTAAGGTGTTTGTCTTTCAGTACATCTCGTTGGCTCGGAGAAACCTTAAATCTTTCAGTGGTGCTGTTTGGGTTTTGTTTCATGCAGAAGAGGAGTTCAATACAATTCTGAAGGATGCCGGAGATAAACTGGTAGGTCTTTTCTACCTTGATCTACAATTGTTCTTTGATTTGATATTTGGATGATGATTTACTTACGTAACGGGATAGAAAGGGACAGGCTATCTTCTCATGAATCCCAGTGCTACACTTAGTACACAATCTAGAAACCCACGAGAAAATAGCAGTATACATGATGCTTTTTCTTATTTCAACTTGTGTGGTATATGCAGGTCGTTGTGGATATTTCCACGAAAACATGCGGACCTTGCAAGATGATCTACCCGAAGCTGGTGGAGATGAGTCTCGCTTATCCTGATGCGGTTTTCCTAAAAATTAACGGGGATACTAATGCCAATACCCGGGTAAGTCTTGCTTAGATTTACACTAGGCTTCAGCTTTGGCTGTCCATATAATGAGTCAGTCTTCCGAATAGTAAATGTTAATCTCAATGGGGTCAAGTCTGGTATAATTCCTTCGAAATGAAATATCACTAGCACAGTGCGGGTTTATTTATCCTTGGCTTTCTCAAATCACTGCGGATTTCTGTAGATAGTTTGAAATAACCTTAACAAACTTCCACGTATCCTGTAGTCCTCTAATCATATTGTCATACATATTTCTCTCATCTCGGTGGTCGGTTGGGGCAGGCTTTGATGCGAAAGTGGGCAGTAAGAGCTGTTCCCAGCTTCAGATTCTACCGAAATAAAAATTTAGTTCACTCGCACACTGGTGCTAAGGTAGAGGAGCTCAAGACCCGATTTGCTGAACATTACGGGCAGCCGGCCAATGTGTAGACACTGATATTTTATACGCTTATCAAAGCACCTATGATTAATGTACAGTGCGAACAATTTGGACGGCAGAAAGTAGACTTATCCACATCAACTTGTCGACTTTACATAGCTTCACAGTAGTGAATGTATTTAGCATGCAATGACAAAGGTCATGTTAATTTATGCTGCGAGACAGTGGCCAAGGGTGATTGAAGGCACTCGACCCCGGATGCGTGCCTCATGTATTCATTACTCTTGTCCACTCAATGCCTTCAATACTTGCAAAAATCTTATGCCTCCCATCTGCACCAATTGGAAATTTGTTTTTGGAGACAGGGAGTTTGTTGTGCAATTTAGCGTATACTAGCGTAGAAGACTCTTGCATAGCTGTAGGAGTAACATGGGTTATTGAGCTCTGATGAGATCTATTAAAGAGGAAGGTAATGTAGATGGAAAATATTATTGTTTTCATTATATTAACAGTGGGTTAAAAAACAATGAGAATTCCTAAGCAGCGTCCTCCATACTCGTTCATAAGTAATCAAGTTAATTGGCTATAATGTGTGATGACCTTTGCAACAAATGCCATTGTGGTATGTGCATTGTGTTATGATTTTATTACAGCAGAATTTTGTAGGAGGGTTCTGATAATGCAAGCCTAGGGCTTCTCATGGGATGACAGAGCTTTGAAGCCCAAATTTGAGACTAATTGTGGGGTCTTTGCTGCTCTCCAAGTGCAATTGTTAGGGTTCCAAACATGAAATGGGTAGTGCAATTGTGATGCACAATTGAGGTAATTGTGACCACTTCAAGGCCAAAAGTGTAGATTTTAGGAAAACAATCCTTGATATTCTCTCTTAGATATTGTAAATCATGCATATTTTGTATACAAGTAATTGAGTTAGCTTCAAACTTCAATGCTTTGGTAGATAATGTAATGTAATTTCACAATTTGCTCATGTTCAAAGATATAAAATCATTTTTTAATATTCTTTCATCATAGTAGCATTTGTTGTTTGTTGTTGTAATGCCAACAATGAGAATAATTAGGCTTATCATATATATGATTATACATATGATTAGATAGACAAAGAAATAGATGAATAAGGGGAGTTGATTGCAAAACATAAGAAAGAGGTTGCAAGAGCTTCACCTTGTAAAATGAGACTTCAATACATTGTATTGCTATAGAAGCATATGCAACTATTATGGTGGATAGAAAATGAGGGTGCTAAAAATGACCAAAAACATTTATATGCCAAAGTTGTGTTCTTCTTTTTGCATTTGTTTTGGAAGATGTACAAAGCTAACTAATATATGATGGCTTGTAGGTGAAAATTGCACTCAAAATTTGCAAAACACATGGTTCTAGAACCACTTCAAAAAAATTAGCAATTCAAGCATATAAGATGCAATCTAAAGGCAAAAGTAAATTTTAGTTGTTAAACTAACTCTTGAATTTTTCATATGCATAATGAGTTTTTGGACAAATTTCTTTATATGAGTAAGTCTAACCTAAAGTTCTCAATCTCTCTATTAGGATCAATGATGTGAAATTTAATCACTAAGTCAAAAAGTGAATGAAGAACTAATTACAAAGATATGGATGACAAATTGATCATGTCCAAGATTACCACCTATTGGATTCAAATATTCATGAATAAATACAACATCTTTGTTTGATCACAAACAAGGAAGTTGCAATGCAGCCCGTAAAAAAAAAAGAGTACATCAACAAGTCCATCACTCTATTGTATTTTGTAAAATGTAACTTGAGAATGCACTAGACATTTGGCTATAGGAGGATTTAGTTTATGTCAAATTGGATTTATAATTCAATAAAACAAATTTAAAAATACTTTGATAATCTTGAATAATCTAAAAAATTTTATCATATTATATTCAACTTCAAATAAATCTTTAAAAATCCTAAAAACAAATCCTAATTAAACCTAAAAGAAATAAAATAAAAATCTTAAAGAAATGAAAAGCCTTAAAAAATTAAAAATTAATTATATAAAATAATAAATAAATCTTAAATAAACTCTAATTAAATTATAATTAAATATTTTTAAAATTAATTATAATTAAATAAACTCTAATTGAATCTTAACAAAATCCTAAAATCTTAATTAAATCTCAAGTAAATTCTAATAAACTCCAATGAAACTTTATGTCAATACCACAAAAGATTTCAAAATTTATTAAATATTACATGAATTATTGATCTTAATTCAAAAAAAATACACATCTTAATTTATTAAATTTTAACAAGTATACCAAGTTTGAAGAGTAAAAATCTTATAGATTGGGAGAAAATGTTCTTAATATATTTTGGATGTCATCCTTCTATAACCTCAATGCAAACCTTCTAACTTCAATATCTATTTCTTGAACTGTTAATATGTTATTAAAAAATTTATGAATATAAATAAATTACACAAATATTAGTATCCAAAAAAAAATTTCTTAAATTAATTGGAAGATTAATCAAAATGTAAGCAATCCTCATTGACCTTTAAAATCCAAAATTTAAAATCCTAACTTACATGAGCTTCAATACCTTTTGATTTAATTGTCTAGTTGAAGACAAATTATCAAAAAAAACCCAATACAACTAAATTTCCAAATCCAAAAAAAATAATTTTCATATTTATTATAAAAATTTATACAATTTATCAAAATGTAATTTTTAAATTTAATTCAAAATAGAGTCATTCAAAACAACCCTCACTTTGCAAAGCTTTAAAAAAGTATAAATGTACTCAAATTCCTCTAAAAAAATGTTCAAAGAAACCTCGTCAAGTCTACTTTCAAAACTTTCTTTTTAATAAATAATAAAATCCCACATTTACCATAGGTGCACGATTTTGTGCCTCAAGGTTTGGTTTCAACTTTACTTCAGAATTGTCCTTATGTGGCTTTTAATCTAAGGTTTTTTTAGATAATTTTTGCTAATGGATATTCTTTAATTTTACCTAAAGATGTTTAAAATTTTATTTTTTCTTATTTTATTTTGAATTATTTATGTTTCTACAAAATAAGTTGAAGCCTTTTTTTTTCTTTTTTTTTTTAAAAATCAAAATGTAGCATTAGTTCTAAATTATTTTCCTACCTTTTTAAATTTTATCTATGTTTTTAAAATAAGTTACTATTATAAGATCTTTTAAAATATGATTCTTTCTTTTATCTTTTACCTAATAGCCATATTACAACATAACAACATATTACATGGAAAAACTTCATCGTAATTTTATATTAAAGAAGCTGAATAATTTTTTTATTTAAAATATAGATAATTTATATTTTATTATGAATTATAGATCATAACCAAATATTATGCATGAAGGAAAAAAATGATGTCAAGTATGCAAATTTTGTATCTAAAAGAGATGGAAAGACGATAGTTGAATCACAAAAGGGACATCAATTCATATTGACATGATAATTATTAGTCTGATCTCATTTGAAGAATGTGGGACAAGAATAGAGGGATCATTTATTTCATAGAATTAAAGGTATAGAATAATAAGAATGTATTTTTGTTATGGTTTATGGAGCCATACATCTACCAATTTGATTAATACATGTGGCAATAGACAATCTTCTTGGACAAGTATGGAATACACAACAACTTTGTTAAACTTTGTTAAGCCTTGGTATTTAAGACAAAAACTTGAAGAATGTAATTAAAGAAGTAAGATGTGTCTCAAAAAAAGATGACATATAGAGAATGAGAAAGTATGTATATTTGAAAATAAATTAAAATGGCTATTGCAAAAAACTAGAAAGCTACAAATTCTTGAAACTAGACTAGAAGTAAGAAAGGAATTGACAAGAGTAATAAAGGCCTCATTCTTTCCTCTATATATATTATTTAATTAAAGAACTATGTAACAACATTCTAAATGTTATTTAACACGTATCTAACTTGTGGGACATGTGTCTAACTTACAAAGTATCTTTTTAACATGTGTGCCACATGGCCAACTTATACAACAAGTAATCAATATATATAATATATGGCTAATTTTTTAGCCAAATTTTAAACCTATCAATCACCTATAGATACTTAAAAAGTCAAATCCATATCTACCAATTTTTTAAGAAGTATTTTTATAATATATTATCAAATTTATTTACTTATATTTAACTGCTCTTTTTTAAATAAATATTAGTATTAATATATATATATATATATCTTTGATACTTAGCCTATAAAAAAAACTTATTGCTAATGTTTTTTATTATATGTAATTAAAAAGATTCAACAAAAAAAATTTACTTATGATTTGCAAGATCAAAGATATTTAATTAAAGTATTAATACAAAAATTAATGAAGATGATTTGATAGCAAGAAAGTTCAAATATTATATAATCTCAAGGTTCTTAGATTAGCAAGTTGATAAATCTAAGAAAGTTATTTTTCTTATAACTTGTAGTTGGTGTTGTACGTTGTTGTATTACATATTGTCTTATTTGAGAATGCATTGGGCACCTAGCTGTGGAAGATGAAATTGTGTCTTATAAATATCTAAGGAACCTTAATAGGTTTTTTCTATACAAGAATTCAATTCAAATTTTTAATTCAAAAGTACTTAAAGTCAGTACAAAGTACTCAAAAACACTATTTTTAGTAACTTCAACAATATATAAACTCCAATTGCCTTACTACTTTCATAAGTAGGTAATTTTGATTTCTAATTGCAAGTTCTAATCCTAATTAGTGAGCTTTGGTGAGCTATAAATCCTAATCTAATCATACACTTGGTACAAAATTTTGCATACAAATTCCACTATAAGCCTTCTATATATTAGAAAAAAATTCAATCCAATCCAATTTACAAATTATAAGAAAAAGTCCAAAAACTGCACTAATGTCACTTGGCTGCCAACTTGTAAGTTGATGCAAATGTTCTAGTAGAAATTTTTTCTTCTTCAATCTTTAACTTAAATTCAAAATTAGAATGTAGTTTGACATTAAATTCTTCTAAAACCATGCCAAGTTTCACCTTGATCCGACTAATAGATCTCTAGATGTTATAGAAATTCTATCCAATCCCAAATTGCCAACTTCTAATACCCTTTTGTACCAAAATCGAGATATCGCTCAATTGTACTATTAGATTAATATAAAATTTTATACATACTTAGTTAACCAAGTATTGTCAAATTTTGAACTATAGATGTGATACTAATTGCATGAATTAGTTGAGAGTGCTAGCTCTAATTATATTACATAAAATCCAAATCATTGATACAAATCTTGACTTTGAACTTCAATCGCAAAGTCATTCCAAACCCTTTGAAA